CAGTAAAGTAGGAGCTTTTGGAATAAAAACACATCTAAAATATACTTTGCAAATACTGTCCAACTCACTAAATTTCTTAATAGAAATCCTTGACACAAAACGTGACGCAGTCTACAGCAAATATAAAAAAAAAAAAAAAAAAAAGACCAGCGTTTTTTTATGTACCAAAATCTTTGGTCATTTTCATCACGCCCAGCACATAAATAAAATCGATCAATGAACCGACCGCAATCAATGAAGAACCGTACAACAGCGACAAATATTATGAAGTATTGATTGATACACTCCGAAACCTCGGGGTTCACCTCGATAAATTGTGAATTAGGAATCGTTAATCACGACCGCGAAAGACTTTTATTGGTCGACTAGCAACCCGCTCCGGCCCCGCTCGGGTATTTAACAAAAAATTTCAACGATATTTGACGTTGTTTTTTGGAACGAAGTTCCTTATCGCGCGTTGTGAAAGGGGGCTAGACGGAAAAAATTCTTACGAACACTTTTTAGATCCGTCATTCTGACTAATCAACGTGTAGGCGCTTATCGCGTGACATTGCTCGTATCCGATTGGTCCGCGTAATGAGTACAGCTTCTCAAGATAGCGTTTCAACAATAGTAATTTAGTTCATAGTATTGTTTGTTTTTCTTCATAATGCCGTAATTTATTATTATAACTTAAAAAAAAATTACAATTCCTTCACTAATTAATCGAAAGGAACTTCGTTCCATCCGGGTGACCCTTGACACCTCTGAAGTTTTTTATTACTTTTTTTAAATAAAAGAACACTTATTGCGGCATAACTATGTTTTCTACAAAGTCGTAGTACATTATTTTATTCTATCATCAATCGTTTTCGCAGGGAACGCGATGTAAAGAACATTTTAGGTAATTATTTTATACCTTTGGTTACATTATTGGGGTTTTAGTAAGGATCCCTAATTTTTTCTCAAAAAAAGATTTTAGCCGGTGTCACTCGAAAATAGTGTAGCTTTCAAACAGTGAAAGAATTTTTTAAATCGGTTCAGAGTTTCTGAGCCTATCCAAACAAACAAACAAATCTTTCCTCTTTATAATATTAGTATAGATGACATAACGTCGAGTCGATAACGATGATGTACTAGAGACGACCCCAGCTTTGAAATCCGGGGTAGATAAAGACCAGTTTTGTTGGTGTTTAGACTGTTCTGGTCAGTGGATGATTTATTGCTTTGGTATTACGCGGTTTTTGTTTGCATCTCACGCCGCTATGGTGTTGAAAGATAATGAATTGACCGAATGCTGACTCTTCTTGAATATCAGTTTATCAAGTCTGAATATCTGGTACCCTTAGTAAGCAATTCAATGTAATTGATTTCGAGATGAAAATTAAAAAAATACGGTTAGTTCACTCGTCTAGTAGTCTGCGTACTAAGTTAAAAACCAAAACCATCATATCGTTAAAATGTATTTCCATCTTTTAAAATTACTACATGATGACCGGGCATTGCTCGGTTTTTTTTTTTTTAATAACGCCATCTTGTTGTGTCTTTGAAGCGGTTAGTTGCCCTCAATTAAGAAAAATAGTATTATTATTCGCCAGTAGATGTCGGGAAGAGTTGATTATTGAAAACACGAACAAAACAACATTTTCTGAAAATAAATCGTAGCTAGATCGATATATCGCCCCCGAAATCCCCTATATATTAAATTTTATGAAAATCGTTGGAGCCGTTTCCGAGATTCAGATTATATATATATAAGAATTGCTCATAAGAAAGATAGGATTTGAGCTATGGAAATTAACGACATTTTGTACCTTAAGTTCCCTGAGGAATTGATTGCGATGCGAATTGATCACATCCTTTTTGCTATGACATCACCGAATTTTTCCGAGCGCTATGACATGTTCTCTTCTAAACAAAGTTAGAATAAATCATCAGCGCCCTTGACTCTGCTGCTACTAAAGTTATGGTCGCCAGTGTCGGGTAAGCCGTAAACTGAACTATTTGCTTTCATTAGAAATAAGAGGGAAGAAAATAGCTTTCACAGGAGCGTGTATTTTCTGAGGTTCGTTATCATTATTAGCCACATTTCTAGTTATAGCTACTTCTAAAGTTCAAACTCCTCAATTCGCCACAACGATTCCTGTTGCTTCCTCCTGGTGAGCTGTTGTAGAGTAATCAGTCGTTGACAGTCAAGAGAGATAACTCATCTTATGTCATTGCCAGAAATTCTATTGAAGAGCAAAATAAAAAAAAAAGATTGCGCTCGAAATAACACATTCCATTTTTGAAGTCGTCGTGGCCTAAAGAATAAGACGCCCGGGGCGTTCGTATCAAGCGATGCACCGGTGTTCGAATCCCGCAAGCGGGTATCAATTTTTCTAATGAAATACGTACTTAATAATTATTCACGATTGACTCCCATGACGAAAGGATAACATCGTGTAATAAAAATCGAACCCGTAAAATTATAATTTGCGTAATTACATACATCTTGAGTTCGCTCGGGTAGGTACCACCACCCTGCCTATTTCTACCGTGAAGCAATAATGCGTTTCGATTTGAAGGGTAGGGCAGCCCTTGTACTGTTAAAACGGAGACCTAGAACTTATGTCTCGAGGTGGGAGGCGGCATTTACCTCGTAGATGTCTATGGGCTCCGGTAATCACTTAGCACCAGCCGTGAGCTCGCCCAGCTACCTAAGCAATAAAAAAAAAAATCCGAGAGTTGAAATATATGTCTACTCAATTTGATAACCTGTTAGAACGACAAAATAAAACTCTTTAAACGATTTTCACTCGGCAGCCATTATGCAAGTTATAATTGAAAACTTAACCCTATCGAATTGTAATCAGGACGGCCCAGGGCAGCACAAACTTAGTTAATCAACCGACGCCAGGAATATACCCGGCTACTTTTTTTTCTTTTTTTTTAATTTGCGTGAATTTGATTAGAAAATTTTTCGACGACACGCTTACATTATAATCGGTGGACCACTTGAACTTCTTTGATGGTTCAAAGGAAACTTTTGTGTGCAAATAACAAAGTTGTTTCAAATTGTTAGTGGTATTAACTTTTTTTTATTTGATTTGAATAATAGTTACTGAAGTGTACTATAATAATATATAATATATTAATACGTGAAGCAAAAACTTTGTACCCCTTTTTACGAAGATTGCACAGACGGAAGAATATGAAATTTCTGACACTTACAGATTCTTTTTTTAAATTATGCATAAAAATACGTAAAATCAATAAAAATATTACACACACTACCATGTATTTGACATACACACGATACTCTTTTATTTTTTGTTAAGGTCTGTGGTCAAATTGAAAATAGATTAATATTGTTTGTCTTTAATATTATTTGTCTATAGTGTAACCTTGGCGAAATCTGTGATCATAGAAGTAATAAAATCTTTGACGATAGAATCATAATAATATCCAAACTTATAATATAAATTAATAGTGATGGTCGAATTTCGACTGATGGGCCACCAATAGTAATATAAATTGGCAAAAGTATTCTCGTGTTCTATGGACTCCGATCGAACATAAATGGAAGTGTGAATTTTGACTTTTCACTGTCAAAAATAAACGAACATCATCCAGAATGAAAAGCTACAGTCGTGCCAAGTAAAAAACACAACTGGTACAAACAAAACATTTTCAAACAGTCCCTCCCATAAAACCTAAGGAATAACGGCCGACTTCGAAATACCCCGAAACACAGACACATTACGAGAAAATTACCCACTATCTATTTTATTGTGAAAACGAAACAAAACTTCCAACTATGGATCGTAAAATTACACATTCGCTTAATGTATCGCCCAATCAATACAACTATAGCGTTCAAATGAAAGTCGACCTAAAATCGTTCGGTGTCAAGGTCGAATTTTACGACCCCCTATCCTATCGTTTGCTGTTAATTGTTTTGTAACTAAATAACTTCGAGTTAACAAGTTCTAAGGAATTTCATTGTACATTTACAATTCCATCGTATCTCTAAATGTACGTGCGACTTATTTATTAGAGACGCAATAATATTGAAAAGAAATAAATTATTCTACTAGATTTATTCGTTTGAAAAATTAGAATTCTTGGAATGGGAATTTATTAGATTGGATAATCGATTTTTCAGAGCAATCGATATTTTTACTCTATGCTTTGAAATGTACAACAGTACAAATTATCCCATTCTTTCTTCTTCTATCTAGATATTATCTATTCGAAAATTCATTCTTGAGCTTTGTCTACGATATTATAAAAAGCATTGAAAATATTACTTTGCTAGAATATTATATTATTCGCATAATCTACATAATAATCATCCCGATATCTTGTAAGGTGAAAGTGGCATAATTTCCACGAACCAACCTTTTTCGAGTTCTCAAGGGGATTGGGGCGCTTGGGTGTAAAATCGATAGGCTTGTTTGGTAGACCTTTTTCCTTCAGCCCTAAGACATGGGCTGGTAATCCAGCGGTTCGACCGTCATTTAAAAAATTGTGTGACAGGTTAATGATTATTTGTTACAGTTGAGACATTGACAGCAACGAAACAACAAAGCATTCTCAACCTCCGGCACATTTCAAGTTGTGAAATGTTAATGCATACTACAGTATGTCTGGTTGTAGTGTTGACCGTGGGAGCCCCCCTACTCTGACCGGGTTCTGACCCCGGACGGAGATCGGACGTCGGGTGTAAGAGTGCAGGGGAGTCGTTTAGTGGGTGGGCCCTAAAATCCTTGGGCCCGCGATCTGCTCTCAGCACCTGCAGATCGTTGAGTCTCACATACCCCGCACGCCCCTTATGCGCGGGGACCTCGTAGGAGGCTCGAACCGTGAAAACCTAACCTTCGAGAATGAAGCACATATTACAACGAGCAATAACTACGGATCCAAATTCCATATCAGAAAACGTCTTGCTTTAAACGCCACCCATTACTGTGATCCCCAATTACTCATTACATAGTTTTGTCCACGATAAATCTACTAAAAAGTTATTTCTCTTCTAGGATTTTCACGACGACCAGAAATGTCAGTACGGGGACGATTTGGTGCGCTTGAAGATGACTTCATAGTGGTGATGTCCAGAAGAGGCCAAAGCCGATCACCGTAGCTGACTCTTTGGTCTGAGAAGGAGTAAGGAGATTGCGAGTAATTATCCTATTTGTTTATATAAGTTGGTCACAACTTAATGATTTCATTGACAAAAGCAATAGAAATTTTACTGGTGGTAGGACCTTTTGTGAGTCCGCGCGGGTGGATAACTACCACCGCCGTGCCTATTTCTGCCGTGAAGCAGAAATGCATTTCGGTTTGAAGGGTGGGGCAGCCGTTGTAACTATACTTGAGACCTTAGAACTTATCTCAAGGTGGGTGGCGCATTTACGTTGTAGATGTCTAGGGGCTCCAGTAACCACTTAACACCGGGTGGGCTGTGAGCTCGTCCATCCATCAAAGCAATAAAAAAAATATATATATATTATAATTGGATAATAAGCAACGTCGTATTTCCCAATAATAGTGTGTATTTTAAGTTTTCAATGCATATTTAATTACCTTTTAATAAATTTCGCTGTGAACCATGTATTAATTAAGTGAAAAAAAAAGCCATATTAAATTTTCCGAAAAAAAAAACCATTAGACAGTTCCTGAATATGCCCAAGCAGCGAAAGGTTAATTGACATCCTGTGAAGTAGCTTCGTTCGGAATCTTTTGAATTATTCACGATTTCCATTAAAACGATCAACACGTTTACAGAGAAGCCTTCTCGGCTTACGAAATTTCCGAATTCCAGCTTGTTGAGTACCTACGCGGAATCACATGACACTCCTCAATTGCGTAATAAAGAATGCATTGCATGGGGTCCCCGGAGAAATCAAGGGCACTTTGGTAAAAGCAGTGACCGGTACAAGGGTTCATGAGACTGAAAATTCTCAATATACTTAGGTGCATTAATATCAAGCTTGTATTGAAGAGTTGATTGGATATAAAAGAAGAGTTACCTCAGTGGAAAAAGAGAAGCATTGAAAAAAGATAGAAATAAAATATATTTTAAGGCAAATAATTTATTATAAAAAAAAGAACATAATATTCCTAAATAACCTAAAAGTACATGTTATTATCCACAACACGCTTAGAGTAGTAAGTAGAGTGTCAGACAGGCTCACATCTCTTTTGTAGTGGGACAGATTTTATATTAAAATAAACATTGAAAAAAAAAATCCCTTTCCTTTTTCATTTGAGTCTTCATTGCTCATCCGAACCAAATCACTTAATTTTATTTAAAAGGATAAATTACGTTTATGAGTAATTAAAACAAAGGAGAGGAAACTTAATCAGTGACATTTGTTACAGTTTCAATGTTAATTAGATTGTAATTAAAAATTCAAAAGCAACGATTTTTTTTATTTATTAATTAAATTTATTTTAATTTAATTTTTTAATTTAATTTATTTTTTAATTTTTTAATTAAAAATTTCCCGCCAGAAATGAATCTTCTAAATATGGACGCGGAGAATCGCGTCGTGCTGAACGTGGGCGGTATCCGACACGAGACTTACAAGGCGACCCTGAAGAAGATCCCCGCGACGCGGCTGTCCCGGCTGACGGAGGCGCTCGCCAACTACGACCCGGTGCTCAACGAGTATTTCTTCGACCGACACCCAGGGGTCTTCGCGCAAGTCCTCAACTACTACAGGTAAACTTGTTTTGTAGCGTATAAAACTAACTCAACTGACCTTACTGAAGTTGTATTCTCGATTGAAACAGCAATTATCGTACAACAAAAAAGCCGCTGGACGTAGCTTCTCGGAATCTTCAAAAAGTCCACTGAAAAAGTCTCCGTAATTATAAACACAATTTTACTGCGGTTATATTTCATCTCATATCATCTCATCTCGTGTCATTTCATTACAATTGATTAATGTTTCGAATTAATCAACTTCATTTCATTTCACTCCATAATATCCTTTTTCATAAAAAATAATATAAAAGATTAGGCTGTATGGTATGATACCTTTGCCTTTCCAGTTGGAAAAATGGAACTACTGTCAGATTCGCGCCGTTTTAAGTTTATGATAAAATTAAAATCTTTGTAATAGGTATTAATATAATTGTTATCGTCTGGTGCCTAGCCTCGTTTTCTCCGTTTCCTGTAAATATTATAATATTGTACACATCCAAAACATTACAAGTGTTTATAAAATAGTGTTTCACTTATGTATTTATTTTGAGTGCATATTTATCGCTAATAGGAGAGAGCAAATAACAAACCACAACTATGATCAAACTTTTACTCAAATAATTCCAAATATTTGTGACACAGTGTATTTTTTATTATAAAATCTACGTTCTTTATATAAAAATTAAGTTAGTGAATCAGCCGCTAAAGGCTCGACCACAAAGGTCGCACATTCGTGTTTGAGAACCGCAATATTTATGGCCCTAAATCGGTACACGTTTTTCATAATATATAACAATAAAATAAATTTGGTTCAGTGGAGTTCTAAATTATGTTTTAAACTTCAATCATAGATTTCTTAATCCATCAATTTTTAAGCCCATCCATAAATATTAAAGCAAAAACCCAAAATATTGTATCCATAAAATATCGCTTCGCCTGACTCATTCGATTTTCACCAATACCGTCGCTTCCTTTAAACATGCGCCTATATTTTAGCCTTTCAAAATTCCCAAGTCGCTTCAGAAATAATTTTCAATACATTCAAACACAAAGACTCCAAGCTCTATTCATATAAACGGTAGCAGCATTGATAACGTGGAACAACGAATGATCGATGTAGATGGCTTTTGTTTGATACATGATCAAGTGGTCTATTTGAAAACACGACATGTGCTTCATCTTTCCGATTATGATTCAGATTAAACAGTATTTTGTTTCGGAAGACTCTTATTCAAATAACTATTGACCTAGCAATGTCGGAGATAATTCCATCATCTGGTGTTTACCTTCAGTCCTCATCATCGTACCACCCGCCACTGGAGTAGAATTCATCCATACTATCTAGAATCATCCACTGCATTTCCAGAGATCGTTTTTTGCCACGTACCATCCGGCTTTGGAATGAGTTCCCCTCTACGGTGTTTCCCGAGCGCTATGACATGTCCTTCTTCAAACGAGGCTTGTGGAGAGTATTAAACGGTAGGCAGCGGCTTGTTACTATCCCTGGCATTGCTGACGTCCAGGAGCGACAGTAACCACTCACCTTCAAGTATGGTCGTACGCCTACAAGGGTAATTAAGAAAAATATACATCCTCACAACCAAGATGCAAAAATAATATAATATAAAAAAATAAAAGAGCTAGTTATAAAGTTTGTGTTCGCAACGCCTGCCTTTGATCTATTGTAATAAATCGCGGTAAGATGTACCGTACCGTAACGACAGGTACCACCGTCCTCTCTATTCCTGTCACCAAGTATTTTTGCATTACAGTTTGAAGTGTGGAATCTCCATTATAAAATACAGTTGAAACTTTCATTTCGTATCTCACGTGGAGAGCTCCAGTAATCACTTATCCTGGTGGGGTTTGAATTTATTCGGCAATTAAAAAAACTTACCTTCCGAAGGGTGTAGTAACTTTATGATGTGTCTTAAGTTCTAATAGGAACCTCATTCCGAGTTGTCCATTACCTACCTATTTTTGCAAACAACAAAATACGCTGAATTTAAGCAAGTAAATTTATCAAGCTTTTGTCGTTTTTAATCTAATTAGGGGATAAAAAGATTTGTCGAAATTGCTCTCTAGCTGAGAAGCTGCAAAAATATTACCTTAAGACGGAAATTATCTAATTAAATTATTCCAGCTAAGTTGTTAGATAGGGTAAACGGATCACTTTGTAGTCAAATCTCAAGTTTATTCCATTTATTTCGTTATTACATTTTGAATGTTTCGACTTATCATTGCGCTATATAACCTTGATCAACTGTTGTGACGTTATTGTCTTCTTCAAGATTGAAATAAAGCCTCAGTAACAATTTTCGATCTCGGTAAAAAGTTCGACTTGCAACCTAACCCAAACATCAGCCCACTGAGTTTCTCGCCGGATTTTCTCAGTAGATTCTCGTCAGTAGATTCACTCGCGAAGCAGCTGCCCTTGAGTTGTTAGGTCTCCTTTGAAGGCACTCGGGCAGCTGTTAGCAAATCCCATGCCCATCTGGCTGAGCCTTTGCTCGCCCACCTGTCCTGGTGAAATTGAAAAGACCTCCGGGCTAGTACAAGTACTAGTTAATTCCTAAAATATAAAAAAGTTAATAATTTTTAGTAGGTAGGTCTTAAAGATTGGTTTGTTTTTGAATTGTAATGTTTATATTTACTTGCAGCTAAGTTCCACTATTGTAAATCCATTCGAAAAAACTATGAACGTAGACATTAGAGTAGCTAAAAACAAATATTTATATATATATATTTGGGATTTCAACGAATTTAACTAGAACATTGAAAAAGTCGTAAAAACGTCATAACTTAGATGCCGATTTCCCTCCCCGTAAAGCTAAAATAGTGTTTATCCTTAGATCCTTATCCGTTTATCCTTAGTGCAAACCATTCACGAATTTATGTATATATTATTATGTATAATGTGACTGTACAATTTATTATGTAATTTTAGCAAAGTAAATGTCTCTCCTCCAATTCCATTTAAAATTTCTATCTGTTTACTCAACCACAAGATCATACTACCCTAAACGTCGTCTATCTATCACAGACTCTAAACATTTACACTATCGCTAACCTCTATGTATGTCTGGTCCTTTATAAGGGTCTCTTTCAACAGGCCCTTATACCGAGAGAGCGAAATTAATTCTATTGATATCCATTCGTGAAACTTCGCTTAGATATATTGGTAAGTTTAAGACTTAAAATTCGGCACTGACCTGGATTGAGCTAATCACCGTTCTAAATTCATTGAAGTAGTGTTAATTTATCTCCCACTTTGACTTTAGCTCACAACATTTGTAATCATGTTTAGAGATGTATAATCATTACATGTTATAGGAACATATATATTGTGTTTTGTCTTTGTCATGGACATTCAAGTTCACAGAAGATCGAGAGGGACAAAATACCGTGTTAGTTACATCGCTTTCATTAATAGCGGGCATAAAGGTTAACTCCCATTGGAATACAAGAATTAATTGAACGTAGTTTCACGAGGTAATTGTTTGAAGAAGCGATGGGAAACCGAAATGTTTGCGGTAGGGGATTTTGTGTTCCCAGAAGAAAATACATTTTTCCTCTTCAATTATAGAAATCAATAAGAGAACGTTACTTAGACCTATTCGTGTGACGTGACTATACTGGAGTCCAATCTTGGTTAAGGTTAACCGTGAGCTTTTTTGTCCAACCTATACAAGAAAACGCTACTTAGACAAAGTGGCGCGCCACGAAAATCCTCTTATCGTGGCCGTCGCTAATTACTTAGGCGACCGTGATCCGGTGGTAGATTTTTTTTTTTTTTTTTTTTTTTATTGCCTTTGTAGGCAGACGGGCATACGGCCCACCTGATGGTGAGTGGTTACCGTCGCCCATGGACTTCAGCAATGCCAGGGGCAGAGCCAAGCCGCTGCCTACCGCTTAATACTCTCCATAAGCCTCGTTTGAAGAAGGACATGTCATAGCGCTCGGGAAACACCGTGGAGGGGAGCTCATTCCATAGCCGGATGGTACGTGGCAAAAAAGATCTCTGGAAACGCACTGTGGATGACCGCAGTGGCTCCAGGTAGTATGGATGAACTCTACTCCGGTGGCGGGCGGTGCGATGGTAAAAACGAGATGTTGGTATCATCTCGAACAATTCCTCAGAGCACTCCCCATGGAACATACGGTACAAAATACAGAGGGAACCGAAGTCCCTCCGCAGACCCAGAGGCTCCAAACGATCCGAGAGAATGGGATTATCGACAATCCGAACGGCCCTCCTCTGTATGGAGTCAAATGGAAGAAGCTGGCATTTGGGAGCCCCGGCCCAGAGATGGGAGCAGTACTCCACGCGAGGCCGGACTTGTGCTTTATAAAGCAAAAGTCTTTGTCCAGGCGTGAAGTACCGCTTCGCTCTGTTGAGGACTCCCAGCATTTTGGACGCCAACTTGGCTTTGCCTTCCAAATGACTCCGAAACTGGACATCGCTCGAAATGTCGACCCCAAGTATCCCGATACTCTCGGAAGGTTGCAGGGATACTCCTTGGAATTGCGGCGCCATGACAAAGGGGTCCTTCTTCGCAGTGAACGCGCAAACTTGTGTCTTTATCGGGTTGAATTGAACCAAGTTCAATTCACCCCATTCGGAGACTCGCCCCAGAGAGTTCTCCACTTCAGACACAAGTTTTGATCGTCTCTCTTGCATCACGCTCCGAGAGAGACTCTGATGGCCGATGCATGCCATCAATAGACAGCATGTCATTGATATACAGGATGAAAAGCGTGGGGGAGAGCACCGAATAAACATCATGAAGACGAGAAAAGGGTTTCACAGGCGGTCCCCCATTCCACATTTAATGTGGATTTCAGCAATGTCAGGGGCCTACATAGCAACCTTGACGCCGTACACCACCACCTTGAGACGGCGCAGCCTGCCCTGCTTTTTTTAACGGAGACGCAGATATCTGCTCCGGATGATACCTCATACCTTGAATACCCCGGCTACGTATTGGAGCACAACTTCCTACGTAAAGCCGGGGTGTGCGTATTCGTGGGCGGGCTGA